CTCTCAGAGTTCGAGCTCCCCGAAGTCTCTTCAGAGTTACTCCAGCTCCACTCGCTTTCCTCATCTACCTGGACATCTCGACTTACCAGAATTTTACCTGTAACAGGGTTGTACAATTTGTAGGCTTTTGCCTTTTCATCATACCCGATCAAAATATACTTCTTGCTCCTATCATCAAGCTTCGTTCTGAGCTGAGCTGGAACATGACCGTAAGCAAGGCTTCCGAAGATCTTGAAGTGATGTATACTCGGTTTTTGTCCACTCCATGCTTCTTGAGGTGTCACATCATCCAATTTTGAATGTGGGCACCTGTTCTGTATATATATGGCACACTGCACTGCCTCTGCCCAAAAATTCTCAGGCATATTCTTCCCTTTAAGCATAGCTCGGACCATATCAAGAATAGTCCGATTCTTTCTTTCAGCTACTCCATTTTGTTGTGGTGAATATGGAGCTGTGAAAAAATGTCTTATACCTTGCTCTTCACAGTACTCCATAAACTCTGCCGATGTGAATTCTCCACCTCTGTTCGACCTCAAGGCTTTAATTTGCTTGTTAGTCTCTTTCTCCACCATGACTTTAAACTTTTTAAAAGCTTCAAACGCCTTTGATTTTTCTTGCAAAAAATATACCCAGGTCTTTCGAGAGAAGTCATCTATGAAAGAAATGAAATATTTCTTACCACTGAAGGATGCAAGAGAGATTGGTCCACACAAGTCAGTGTGTATCAGGCCAAGTTGCTCCTTTGCTTTGTATTCGGATAAGCTCGGAAAACTTGTTCTTGAATGTTTTTCGAGCACACACGCTTCACAGAACTTCTTGTCAAACTCAACACCACATAGTCCGAGCACCAACTCCTTCCTTGATAGCTCGGCCAAGCCTCCAAAGTTTAAATGCCCAAAATGAAAATGCCACATCATGGCTTCATCCTTCACGTCCAGCTTCAAGCACTTATTTTGAATGATGTTCAGCTGCAGTTTATACATTCGATTCTTTTTTATCTCTACTCGGGCTACTAAACGATCATGTTTGTCCTTCAAATAAAGCACTCGATCCTTCATCAGAACTGAGTTGCCTTTCTCCATCATCTGCCCCATGCTTAAGATGTTATTCTTAAGCTCGGGAACGTAGTAGACGTTCCTTATTTCTCCAACTCGTCCATCCTTCTACATAAGCCTGATGGTTCCACGCCCTTTTACCGCCACCTTGGAATCATCCCTAAATGACACGAATCCAGCCTTCACCTTGACGTTTAGGAACCCAAATACTTAGGGTTGCAGATGTGTGCAGCTAATAAACCCCTTCCCTAATATGAAATTCTCTCTCACACAATTTGTATAAATGATGTTTTTATCAATAGTTGATGTTTTTTTCAAGTCCTAAAAATTAAAAGTGTTGAAATATTGGGATCTAAAATTAGGAAATTATAAAAATATCCTTAAAATTAAAAATTTATAATCATGTTAATCTACAACTTAAAAAAATGTTATTAGAGTGATAATATTAATATATATTTAAAAATTAAAGTGATAATAAATAATTGAATTTAAGAATTTATTTGACATTTTAAAATCGTATTTGATAATTTTTTAATTTTAAAGATTAATATGACTCAAGAACTAAAATGAATATTTATTTAATTACAAAAGTAAGTTTTGTTTCTCTTGATAATTCTTTTTTTATATACATAATCAAAATTGAACCTTTGACCTCATGTTAATGAATAGAGATCACAAAAAATTCAATTATTTATCAATTATATTAAATTTTTTACTTATTGTAATAAGGTTCAACACAATCGATTATTAATTGAGTTTTTTCTAAACATTTTAACATTTAATACGATCTTAATTCTTAATTATGTATCCAAGGAAGTCTTTATCAGAAGAGATAAAATTTACTTGGATAATTTTTATGTTTCAAAACAAATTATTTTGATTATTAGTTGAAAAAAAAATCTTATGAAATTCTCTTTGGATATGGAAAGAAAAACTTGGATCAGAAAAGACAGGAACTTTTTGCCTTTGCATGTGAATAGAGTAATTGAAATGGATGCAGTTGGATATAAGTTAAACACAGCATCTTCAGTATATCTTTGTGCAGGCCTATAAACATAAGGATCTCAGCTATGTTAGCTAAGATAATTCATCCTCCTGAGTACTATTGCTGCACTAGAGGACGCTAACATACAGCTATATAACTGTTTTTTGCGATTTTTCTTACTTATTAAACTCTCAAACTAGTTTCCACACAGTTGTCTAGATTGGAAATCTTGTTCCTCAGATTTGAAAAATCTTCTGTTTCTTTTTTATTCTATAAAATATCATTCATGTAAACATTTTTTAGTTACTCTTTTCACTTGACATGGTTTAACATGCACGAGAGAGTTTCTTAATCTTCTACTAGATAGGGACAGTTTTGATGAATGCTTATTTGACTTAATTTATTTGAAAGAAAAAATAGGTTAAATTTTAGCAATGTGTTCAAAGAATTTTTAGAAAGCAAGCTATTCTTTTTCTAAAAGTAAATGGTTTCTAACATACGCTTAAACCCTATTAAAACTATCATTAACAAATGGATATAAACATATTCATTAGCTAATATATTCCATTAACAATATATGATAATTAGGTTGAAAATACACCTTTGAGAGTCATTGTTTAACCTATATTTTCATATAAACAAGTGAAAAAAAAAATAGAACCTAATTTCTCAGAAAACATAGTTGTGACTTGTGAGAGATAACTTCTTTGCAATTTTATTATTTTATCGCAACAAAATTTCTGTTTTGTGTCACTTATATTTTGTGCAATTATACTTAAAATGAAACAAATAACTCAACAGACTAAACAAATAGTTCAAAATAACTAACTTGGATATCTCTAAAATTTAAGATTATCTAACAACCACCATGCTTGAATTTGACATGATTCAACTAAGCTAGAGTCTATTTTCTTCCCTCGTCCTCCTTGAGAAGAAAAAGGATGGCAGTTGGTGTTACTGCGTTGATTATAAAGCTCTAAATGTCGAATATAAACTAATTTTGGTAATCACAATTATTATAGGTATAGTCAGTAATATTTCTCAAATAATGAATGAATTCATAAAAGAAATTTCTTTTATCTTCTCTAATTTTCTTTCTTTATATCTTTTAATTTCTTTAACTTTTTGTTAAATTAAAAGATAATCTTGAATTGTTCAAACTTTCATATTTTAATGATAATAAATAAAAAGATTTTTAAGAAAATATATACTTTTTTTAATTAGAGAAAGTGTAAGGCACTAACCATAATCAAACGTTGTTCAACCAAACGAAACATATTATCTCATGGACTAGCATATATATGTTTAACAATGAAGTTGTTTATTTGAATGTTTCTTTAATAGATTGAACTTTAAATACTTCCTTTAAAGACTCAAACTTTTTGGCATTGATTAGCCTCCTCACTGTGAACAATAACAAAGAATAATGACAAGAATTATGATGTGTGGTGACTTTGCCTTTGTTTCAGTTTCTTACTTTTATAGGGATTAGAAGGTGGGAATCTACTTTCTTTCAAACTATGAAGATCATTAACAAGATAAGTCAATAATTAGTAATTATCGTCACAAATATTAATTAAAATTTTTACAATCAAAATTAAAATAAAATCTATTAATTCACACTATGAATGTATTTGAATATAATGTATTTTATTTGGGAATAAATTACTCTTTTACCTGTAAAAAAATAATATTCTCTTTTAAAAATAATATATGCTTTTATAATTTTTTAAAATAAATATTGTTTTTAATTTTTAATTTTTAAATTTGAATTTAGTTTCAGCTAAACATTTTTATCCAATTATATTTTTCATGCTTTAAAATACGGGTGTTTCATTAAATATTTTTATTTTCATAAACCCTAAATTAAAAAGCTTATTAATACAATACTCAATTGAAAATGTTTTACACATTACATTAGTGGGAGTAGTGTTGTCATTTGTTAGCTCCCAATTGGTTATAACCTTCAATTGTGAAGGTTCTTTTGATACGCACGATTTAAAGATTGCCAACACTAACAGAACGAAAACACACTGCAGATGCTGTATGATTTGGAATGCCGCATGTAATTCCTATATGCCAAAATAATATATTGATTTTTCTCCTAATTTATAATGATCAAAAGGAAAAAAAAAAAAATATTGGTATAAATATCAATTCCTGTTTGAGACATTACTAGTTAAGTTGAATCGCTTATGTGAGAAGAGGTACACCAAGGATGACATGAGAAGACATTATTATTATTGTCACAATCATCAACAGATAACAAATATAAATATTATGATAGTTCTTATTTTATTTTATTATATTATTTTTTATTTTATATATGATAGTATTGTTTTAAACTTATAGTCATGCCAGGATGTAAAAACCTTTGGTCAGGATGGACAAAACAAAGAAGAGATGAAGTTTTATATTGAACTATTCAAGATTTATTAGTTCTAAGCGATAGTTGAAATTCTAGATATGCCTTAAGTTGATGGAAGGTTGTTAGTAAATGAGGAAATATATATTGTGCTGACAGGTTTCTGGGTGGGTTGAAGAATATAATTGGTGATAAGAAAATAATTTGAGTTGAAGAAAATAATTGTTAGTAGTTAGTACCAGCAGTCACTATAACTTGCCCCACAAACTGTGTTAGCACCGGAAGTCAATTATATCACACAGGAAAATATATCCCACTTTCGTGGCAATAACTGAATAGAAAATATCAAAACCCATTTACCCCTTGCACAGTTTGTAAACAAAATATTAACACTAATTAAAGCATTTGATAAATATAACCCACTTTAAATTAACAGTAGATAAATTCAAACATATGAATATCAAGAAAGCATCTTACTTGTGTGGTGCAAAAGGAAAGAGTCTTTGAAAAAGCATCCAATCCAACTGCATAGGGTGTGATGTGATACCAACCACCACTACACTTTGTCTTGGAGTTGAGCGAGTAAAAGTAATGAGAATTTAGTCAAGTCAACTATCATTGCATCTATAAAGAACCAATCCAGTTTATTGCAACCAATTTCTTACCTTTCTCATTTAACTCTTAACATCACTTGTTCTTGAGATCATGGCTACAGCAGTCGTAGGTGGTGCGTTCCTCTCTGCCTTCCTTGATGTTGTTTTTGACAGGCTGGCTTCACCTGAGGTTGTCAACTTTATCCGTGGAAACAAGCTTGACAGCAAGTTGCTTCAACAGTTGGAGACCATTCTGAGAGTGGTTAGAGCTGTGCTTGATGATGCTGAGAAGAAACAAATCACAGACTCCAATATCAACCATTGGCTCACTACTCTCAAAGATCTTGTCTACCAGGCTGATGACTTGCTCGATCATGTTTCTACCAAAGCTGCCACCCAAAAGAAGGTAAGAAACTTCTTTTCTCGTTTTTCCAATAGTAAGATAATTACTAAGTTGGAAGACATAGTTGTCAGATTAGAGAATGTTTTAAGACTTAAGGAGAGTCTTGATCTGAAAGAGATTGCAGTGGAGAACAGTGTACCATGGAAAGTTCCATCAACATCTCTCGAAGATGGATCTCACATATATGGTAGGGATAATGACAAGGAGGCCATAATCAAATTGTTGTTGGAGAATAGTAGTGATGGTGAAGAAGTGTCTGTCATCCCTATTGTGGGCATGGGTGGAGTTGGAAAAACTACTTTGGCACAATTGGTGTACAATGACGACAGTTTGAAGGAGATATTTGATTTTAAAGCATGGGTTTGTGTTTCTGAAGAATTTGATATTCTAAACGTCACAAAAATTATATTAGAGGCAGTTACTGCACAACCTTGTAAAATCAATGATCTAAACTTACTTCACCTTGATTTGATGGACAAACTGAAAGATAAAAAGTTCTTGATTGTTTTGGATGATGTTTGGATTCAAGATTATGTTAATTGGAGTCTTCTTAAGAAACCACTTCAACGTGGAATTAAGGGAAGTAAAATTCTTGTTACAACCCGCAATGAAAGTGTAGCAACTGTAGTCCGTACTGTTCAACCTTATCATCTAAATCAGTTGTCGAATGAGGATTGCTGGTTAGTGTTTGCAAACCATGCATGTTTTACTCCAGAACCTAGTGAGAATTCAATGACTCTAGAAAAAATTGGAAGGGACATTGTTAAAAAGTGTAAGGGATTGCCTTTAGCAGTACAATCACTTGGAGGTATGTTGAGAAGAAAGCATGCCGCTAGGGATTGGAATGATATACGGAACAGTGACATTTGGGAACTTGAGTGTAACATTATTCCAGCACTAAGAATCAGTTATCATTATCTCCCTCCACAATTAAAAAGATGTTTTGTTTATTGTTCATTGTATCCTAAGGATTATGAATTTCAGAAAAATGAATTAATCTTATTGTGGATGGCTGAAGATCTTTTAAAGCCGGGAAAAAAAGGAAAATCATTAGAAGAAGTTGGTTGTGAGTATTTTGATTATTTAGTTTCAAGGTCATTTTTTCAACATTCATCTAGGGTAAGTAAATTTGTGATGCATGACCTCCTGCATGATCTAGCAACATCCCTTGGACAAGAATTTTATTTGAGATTAGAGGAATTGGGAAAAGAAACCAAGATCGATGTCAAGATTCGTCATTTGTCATTTACCAAATTCAGTCATGCTGTCTTGGACAACTTTGATGGAATAAATTTTTTTAGAACTTTCTTGTCTATCATCCATTTTGAAGTTGCTCCATTCTATAATGAGAAGGCACCATGTATTATAATCTCAAAACTTTTGTACTTGAGAGTTTTATCATTCCGTGACTTCCAAAGTTTGGATGCTTTGCCTAATTCAATAGGTAAATTGATCCATTTGCGTTATTTAAATCTGTCTCATACAAGTGTTTCTACATTGCCAGAATCATTGTGTAATTTATACAATCTAGAAACCTTGAAGTTGTATAATTGCACCAAGTTGACTAAGCTGCCCACTGGCATGCAGAATCTTGTAAACTTGCGTCATCTTGATATATATGGTGTTCCTTTAAAAGAGATGCCTAGAGGAATGGGAAAATTAAACCACTTACAAGAATTAGATTTTTTTATTGTGGGCAAGAATATAGAGAATGGGATCAAAGAATTGGGAGGACTTTCAAACCTTCATGGTTCGCTTACGATTAGAAATTTGGAGAATGTTACCTCAAGTGATGAAGCATTGGAGGCTAAGATAATGGATAAGATGTACATTGACAGATTATACTTGGAGTGGTCTGAATGTAACAACAATAGTAAGAACTGTTATATTCTTCCTTCGCTAGGGCAACTACCATCTCTTGTGAGCCTTTATATTTCAAGATTGAATTCGGTGAAGACTATTGATGCAGGTTTTTACAAGAATGGAAATTCTTGTTCTGTGAAATCCTTTCCCTGCCTTAAATATCTAGAAATTAATAACATGCCTTGTTGGGAAGTGTGGAGTTCCTTTGAGTCAGATGCTTTTCCTTCACTTAGGAGGCTTGTTATTTGGGGTTGTCCTAAACTACGGGGAGATTTGCCAAATCACCTTCCTGTTCTGGAATGCCTTGAGATTTCTAATTGCGAGCAGCTTGTCTCTACTTTTCCAAGGGCTCCCGTCCTGCGAGATTTAGAGATTTTTGAAAGCAATAAAGTAGCGTTGGATGTGTTTCCTCCTTCGGTGGAAATTATCAGAGTAAAAGGAAGCCCAATGGTGGAGTCCATGATGGAGGCCATCACTAAGGTCCAACCAACTTCTCTCCATTCTTTATCATTAAGTGATAGTTCCTCAGCCATATCATTTCCAGGTGGTCGTTTACCTGCATCGCTCAACACTCTGAGAATCCATGATATTAAGAAATTGGAATTCCCGTCCCAACAGAAACACGAGTTGCTAGAAAATCTGACCGTATACAACAGTTGTGACTCGCTCACATCTCTTCCATTGATTTCCTTTCCAAATCTCAAAAGTCTCAGAATCGATAGGTGTGAAAATATGGAATCTCTCTTGGTTTTAGTGTCAGATTCACCTAAGAATCTAAGTTGTTTTGAGATTCGCCAATGCCCTAACTTTGTTTCATTCCCAAGAGAAGGATTTCCTGTGCCCAATTTGACTACTTTGAGAGTTGGATTTTGCGACAAGTTGAAGTCGTTGCCTACTCAGATGAGTGCTCTTCTTCCAAAATTACAACATCTTGAAATAAGCAACTGCCAGGAAATTGAGTCATTTCTTGAAGGGGGTATGCCACCTAACTTGAGTACGATTCATATTTTCAACTGTGAGAAACTAGTGAGCAGCCTAGCATGGCCATCGATGGACATGGTTACCAATCTCATCATCTATGGTCCGTGTGATGGCATAAAGTCCTTCCCAAAGGAGGGTTTGTTGCCTCTCTCCCTTACGTATCTCTCTCTACAAAACTTCTCAAGTCTAGAGATGTTGGACTGCAAGGGGCTTCTCCATCTCACATCCCTCCAAAGCTTACGAATTGCTCGTTGTCATAAGTTGGAGAATATGGCAGGTGAAAGATTGCCTCTCTCTCTAATAAAATTAGAAATTATTTCATGTCCTTTGCTGCAAAGACGCGTGAAGCACCGTCAAATTTGGCCTAAAATTTCTCATATCCCTGGCATTAAAGTTGACGATAGATGGATTTAGTGACGAAGGATGATCACCAGGTAATTCTCCTGCTTTGTCCTTTTCTTTATGTTTAACTTAGTTATTGCATTCAACAAGTCATGGGTTACTTGTTTAGTTTGAAATATGATTCGTTCTGCAAGTGTAACGATAGAAAATTCATTTGTATATTGTTTCTTTTCAATGAATATTCGAGTTTAATTAAAACGTATTGCAGAAATAACTAATGGTCTTTTTCTATTTTGCAGTTTGTTTGCATAGTAAGAGCCGAGATTTTGCTTAGTATTATGGTGAATACCAGGTAAAGATTATCTTAGGATAGATCTCATTGCACAATATAAATTAAACTCTTACAAATATGATAAAATAGTCTTAAAATGAATTTTTAAGACTCCAGGGATGAAACTCCACTACAGCAGCCCGAAGTTTAATTAATTCATGATCATGAATTTTTCTTTTCATTCTATTCACATGCTATATTCTACTTATATTTCTCTTTTTTTTTCTTCTCAGGAGACACAACTTCTAACCAGCTAGACAAACATTATACAATTTTATGGTAGCAAAAAAGTAAGTATATATTAAGCAATGTTCTTATTTATGTCTTGACAAATATTCGTAGTTTACCACTGATTCCCAAAACAGATATAAAAGTTTCTACATATTTTGTTTGTGTTCTTCGCAGAATGGAGACCGAATCTCTTATGTATGGAATGTGTCCATCCCACTTCAATTGATAAATGCATTAATGTACTGAACAATATTTTTATAGTTGAATATGTTGCAATAACACATTACTTAGTGTAAGGGGAAAAAAGAAGTGAAAGTGAAAAGAAAAAAAAGATAATTTTGTTATTTTTATTGGTTTTAAAAATTGACTGTACCAAAACATCTTATAATAACTCCTTTTTTAATATAATTATGATAAAAATTAACAAATTTATCGTTGATTAAATGATGTAAAATATTACGGTAAGCACGCACACTATTTGCGCTTATAAATAAGGTTTCGCTTATAAATAAGGTATCAAATTTCAAAGTTTATATTTTAGTGAGTGGTACAGTTTATGATAATCATGATATAAATTTCAAAATTAAATTAGAAGTATTCCTTTTCATTTTTTTGGTTTTTGTTCCTTGTTAGTATGGTATTTTAAGTTGGACTAGCGGTCTTTGTTTAAAGATTCAAGCAAATTACTACTTATCGCTTATACACAATACAATTTAAAGATTGCTAATAGAATGAAAACACACAGCAGATGTTTATCCACTTTAGAAAGGTTTATACCTTTTCTAAATGACAAAATAATCGCTATTTATATAATATTTATTATAAAATAATTTTTTTTGTAATTTATAATAATTGAAAAAAATTATATTATCAATATCAATCCTGTTATGAGACATTACGACATTCCTGTTTTAGTGGAATCATTTTTCAAGAAGAGCCAAGGGTTGATTTGAGAGAAACTATTATTGTGAACATTCATGAAACAATGACAGATAACAAATATGAATATGATGCTTTTTAATATGTAAATGTGATAGAATATTCACAAACATTTAGTCATGCCCGGACAAATATGTTCCCGTACACTTGTTATTGGCCACTTGTAGTTGAGAGTAGAAATTGTATTCATTTTCAAATGGCATATTTTTAAAATGAGCATCTTTTGATAAACTTTTTCAAACACTTATAGAAGAAAAGATATTAAAGAAGAATGAAATTCTTTTTTCATTAGTTATAATTAACTTATGCAAAGTTTAAAAATTAGTATGAATTTTTTTTTATAAATTAATTTATGTAAAAACTAATTTTGGTTTGTGAAAAAGCATCTTTCATTTTTCCTTTCATGTATTCTCTTATAATTATTTATAAAGAAGTTTATTCAAAGATATTAACCAATTTCCATTAGACAAACAGATTTTAATTTTTTGACTTGCAAACAATCAACAAAGGTTCATGCATCAATTGCGTGAACTTTGATACAACTACAATAACTACCATTATAACACATTTGGTCTTGATCAAGGGCTAAGTTGTGTTTAAATTTATAATGATTGGTTTGAAGCATGAATCCCTCTAAATTTGAAAAGAATCGCATGTCCAAGCTCGGCTCATATAAAATTTGAAGAGAATTGCATGGATACAACATTCAATCCTACAGAAGATTTGGTAATTGCTGAAAGCTAGTATATTTGAGTAACATTTTCAGTTTACTTTCATTTTCTTCTCCCTAAAAAAGTTTTTGACTCCATCCAGGTAAGCAGAATGAAGAGAGATAGGGACCTTTATTTTCCACAACTTCCACTGCATTTGCATTTGCATCCAATCCCCTTAAAAAATCTCAAGGAAACTGAATTCAGGACGACTCTAAACTTTTGACGAACTTTTTAGTCTGTCATAAAAAAGGATACAAGTGAGAAAGTAACCACAAATTCAAGAATTAGAAGTTAAATGAGTTTTTGGGAGTGCAGGCAAGAAAAGAATACATGTAGCAGTGTATTCAAATTATACCTGTTCTAAGGTTTGAAACACGATCACGTTCCAAGATCCCAGCCTTCCAAAGTTTGGGAGGAACCCTTTATAAAAGGCAAAGGGTCCCTGAAAAAAAATATAAAACATTAACAAATCAGTTTTGGTATAGGTGTAATGTGTCCTTACACAGACAAATATAATGAAGCAAAAGAAAAGGAAAAGATGGAAGAAAAAGGAAGATTATGTTGCACACTATAATAAAGCAAGTCAATTTGATTTAAGTGCATATAAGCTAGGGTAAGAAATGAGAATATTATATATATATATATATATATATATGTATGTATGTCAAATAACTATAAGTGACAAAAGTAGGTTTGTTCAGCCTGCCACTTTTGCGGATTATACCCACTGCTTACAACTACTTATATGTGATCAAATGCTGCAAAGAATTTTATTCATGATAGCTATGAAATGACAAAGGATCCACACAGTTAATGATAGTAACTTGTGGCTAAAGCAAAATGATGGTATATAATCTTACGAGAACAAAACGGTATCAGTGGGAAGTAACTTACATCATTCTTTAATGTTTTGATAAAACAAGCAAGAGTGCTTTTGTAACTAGAATCTCCCAGCATTCTCGATTTAACCTGCAATACACCAATGAAGATAGAACAACAAAAATTAGTGGAAAGGTCACGTGATCACCTTGCATCCAAATAAGATTTGGGTAAGAAATTATACACATTCACTGCAATGGACCTTAACAAGATCAGATGTCAACAACAAATTCTTAATAAGCTTTAAAAGTTTACTAATTCTACCATTTTCTAATCATCCTGGGATTCTTAAATTCGTCTTGGTGGAACAGGGAATATCAAATTCAAAATTCATTTCAAATTGAAACAACTATTAACACACTACATATAAAACGATGGGGCAATAAAAAATAAAAAGTCAAATCAACAAGGGTTATTCTTTGGTAAATGCTAAAACATTACCACATCAACTGGGGAGCCAATACAAACAGCAATAAACCCTGCCCCAAAGACTAGCAAGGAGATGAGTAACAACATTGTCAGTGAATCCCGGAATTTTCAAAATAGTCTGCATAAAACAACATAGTTATTTACAAATATAAAGAAGGAGAAAAGTTTGATCCACACTGCTAGGCCTCAAGTCACTTTTAAATTACCTGCTTCACTTGATCGTAGCTGGCTAATTCAGCAGCATTGATTATAATATTTCTGGCTATATTGGGGCCATGTCCAGTCTAAAGAGCCCGAACTCCTTCCTGTGTGTTAGATGTAGGCTAGAATAAAAATAATCACAACCAAAATGAACCAAACACATTTTTCTCTTCAATAAACTAAATTGGGTTGCACAAAGCTGTCTCACAATTTTTGAATAAGCATTTAAAGATCAAGAGTAGCGTTAATTTCCTTTCTGCTTGAAGTCTAACTTTGACCAGAACAATTGGATTTGCCACAGCACCTGTTGACAATACAAATTGAAGGAGTACATAATTGAGTAATTGCGATGAGTATTTATAGATAGGAATAACAAAAGTTCCTACCAAGAAAAAGTAAATATTCATAGATTAGAAAATAAATTCATCTAATAACAAATATACAAATTATTCCCAATAATTCCAGCATTGGGCTTTACCAGTTGTAAATGCAGCAAGAATTTTCTTTGAAAATGAAACATCTCGAACATGGTCCCTTCCCACATAGAAAGTCTTAACCTGTTAACAACACATGTGATGTACAACATAAGTCTTTCTAGGCTCAACCTCAAGTAGTACTAGACTTTCTAGTTTAAGTGACAAAATATGAAAAATCAAATTAAGTTGTTAAATAGTTTCTCTGTAAGCCTAAAGTTGTTTATACCTTACTTGGCTATAATTGGTCTAATCTTGTGATTTGATAGAAGACCTCCTTAATTAATATGTCTAGTAATGCATTAATTAATTATTGATGTGGATGTTGAAAATGTGATACTAAATAATAAATTTGTTGACTTTTACAATAAATATTTTAAAAGTCATACAAATTATAATTCATAATTAGTTGATTGTGTTAAACTTTCATGAAATTAAACCACGTTATAAGCTCTTATAAAATAAAATCATATTATAATCTCTTTGTGAAATTAATATATATATATATATATATATATTA